AGAGTGTAATATTGTTCTGGAATTATTCGATTTATCTGGGTTTGCTCGAATTGACATGTATCAGAGTATCAAACTCTTTTCATGTATATAAGGCCATAGCTATTGTATTTACCTATCGAATTTTATTTCAGATTGGTCCTCTGAGATGTTGGCCTGGTGGTTTGTGTCTCTCAAGATCAATTGGAGATATGGATGTTGGCGAATTCATTGTCCCAGTTCCTTATGTAAAACAAGTCAAGGTTTTCGTCTCACACCTTTTAACTTCCACGTTTGATATTTGTAACTTCAGTTGAAAGTCTCATAGATACAAGTCTAAAAGTTCCTCTGATCGTTTTTCATTTCTGCAGTTGTCTTCAGCTGGTGGTAGGCTTATAATCTCAAGTGATGGTGTATGGGATGCTTTGACAGCCGAGACGGCTCTTGATTGTTGCCGGGGATTGCATCCAGAACCTGCTGCTGAACAGGTTGTTAAAGTAAGTGTATCTGAGCATCCTACTTCAGAATTCAGATGCATTACATACGTATAATCCTTTTTTCGATACAATTGCATTTTTTTCTAGTAGCTTGACCTTATGATACACTTCATGCAGGAAGCTGTCGGACAAAAGGGTCTTCGTGATGATACCACCTGTATCGTTATTGATATATTACCTCCGGAAAAGCCAGCTGCTCCTGTGCCTGGTCCGAGAAAGCAAGCGAAAGGAATGTTAAAGTCCATGTTCAAGAGAAAAACTTCTGACTCTTCTTCTAATATAGAGAAAGAGTATGCGGAACCAGACGTGGTTGAAGAATTGTTTGAAGAGGGTTCTGCTATGCTTTCAGAAAGGTATTTATGCATGAATCAAGTAAATCGTGTCTTTTATACGATCATTTCCTTCTTGATTTGCTCTTATTCATCGATTGTTTTTTATTATGATTGCAGATTAGACACGAAGTATCCACTCTGCAATATGTTTAAGCTGTTCATGTGTGCGGTTTGTCAAGTAGAGGTAAAACCTGGAGAGGGTGTTTCGATACATGCCGGATCATCTGATTGCCGGAAGCTTCGTCCCTGGGACGGTCCGTTCCTTTGTGTAAGTTGCCAAGAGAAGAAAGAAGCCATGGAAGGCAAAAGACCGTCTGGAGGTATGCATTCATTTCCCTTACTCCGAGATACTTTTGTACATTAGAAATTCCGATAAGCATGTTAGTACCGACTTTTTAGCTCATTTTACTTTCGGTTCCAAAAACTTTAAAGAAAAGCTAACTTTTTATCTTCTGTTACTTGGCATCTTTCAGACAGACATAGTAGCGAAAGCGATTAGGCAAGACATCACATCTGCGATATGCCTTCATCAGCAAATCACTAACAACACTTATCTTCAGTATCGGGGGGAAAATCGGAGCTTTTTCGGGGGGAAAATTTGCTAAATTATCTTCAATCTTATGGTGTGGTCTGGTCGAGCTCCAAGGACTTGTGGAATCTTCACTCCCCGTTTTCGACATTGATCCTTGGCCAAAAGACCAGCATTGCATATTTCGGACACACGTTGAAATCAGTTAAAAAAGTATTTGTTTCTTTCACTTTGCTCCCGCTGTGCAAAGTCTGGATGCGCGGATAGCAAGCGGTCCAACCATTGTTTTAAGTTAGAGGTAAATTCCGTTTCTTGTTTTTACGTTTCTAAGTTTTGTTCCTCGTTTCCCCGGGTGCGTTTGGTGATCCAAATGGATAGATCTAACAGCGAAAGTATCATCGCAAAGTTTAGGGGTCGGGTCTGTATGCAAATTGTTGGAAGTAAGATTATAGCCTGGAAGGAACAATGGGAGAGGAGAGGAGTATTGCCTGCCTTCATTGTAACTTTTTGTTCTTCCTCTTGACGGTTATAAATATCTATTTGCATGTTCTCTCCTCTCCCCTTTGTTTGTCATCCCTCATTCCTCAGGTTACATGATTGCTGCTGTTGAAGCAGAGGTACGTTCTCTGTGAAACTCGCCCATTCTTTTGCTTTGCATTCAATTCTTTGGCCAAGTGGATGTTTTTTTGGATCGGTTCGGTTTAAAATGATTCGGTTTTTATTGATGCAAAGTACTCATTTTCTAAAAAAAATTTTGATTTTTCCGGTTATTCTTATATTCACTTCGGGTTTAATATGGGTTCGATTGGTTTAGTTTTAAGAAATCATATCCATTGGTTTTTACATGATATTCGGTTTGTATCAGTTTGGGGTTTTTATTGATAGTTTCCAAAGAAATTTGTAACTTTTCATTTACTTTTATATTCAATTCCGATTCCATTCAATTTTTTTTTTATTTTAGGAAAATTATACTCAATTCGATTTGCTTTTCATCTTATTGACGCAACCCAATTCTATATATCCGAACAGAAATAGTATGGTTGCCGCCAGATGTCTCCATGTCCTTGAAACGCTGAAAAAATGTTGGTTTTATTCCAATCAGCACTCAAAAAACCATGAAAAGTACAACTCCGTGTTCCTTGATTTAGGAAATTAGCTATTTATCAAATAAAACCACCTGTCTAAATCTAAATAGATAATGATCATTACGTGGAAAAATCTTGTTTGACCGACCAAATCATCGTTTATAGAAAGAGCTTGTACAAATTTACAAAGGCGGAGAGTCGTACAGTTTCACGTGTTCATTGGACCGACCAAATTGTAATTAATCAAAGGTCCTTAGGCTCATTCTTTGTAAGAAGCGAGAAGCTGCCACGTGGCAGAAATACGCTCCTAAAACGGCGCCGTATGACCAAAGGAAATGGCCATTAGGTTGTTTTTAATTTTATTTAAAAAAAAGGGAAAAACCGAATGGATAAGAACTAAGAAGATGAGATCACGAGACGACCATTTAAGAAGAAACGATTCGTGTGATTTACTTTACATAAAAAAAAATCGCAAAGTCGTCATTGCGTCCCAATCACAGTCAGTCTCTGAGATCTTTTGTTTTTTTTCTTTATAATTATTTTTCTAAAGAATTCGCCCAAAGGTTTTTTGTTTATTCTCCCTGTCATTCATCGATTGCATTATCCATCACTTCCATTTTGTTCGCATCCTCGGAGGATCCCAGAATCATTCGCTTTTTTTTTTCTTTCAAAAGCTAATTTGTGGATCCTTCTGCACCATCAATTTCGGTTTGGACCCTAAATTTGCATGGGAAATTTTCTGGGTAAGATCGCCTGTTTTTCTGGTATCGTATTTGTTTCCGACATTCGTGCTTCTGTGTTGTCCGAAGATTTTTTTGGATGATTAGTATTTGTCCGAAGGTTCAGCTTAGATATTCTCGCGATTTCTGCTCCTTTTTGTTTCCGTGGTTCCTCAATTTCCGTGTGAAGAATCGATCGAGTTGAATATTTCTTTATCCGTCGTTGACGAAACTTGTTTCCGCGTTCAGTCTTTTTCAAGATCTCCAATCTTTCTCATTTCGTCGCTACCCAGATGGAATAAACAATCCTTCTCTTTCTGTTGAAGTTTCTCTTCTTTTGTTCGTGTTTTTTATACGAATGAGCTGATGATTTCTAATTCCGTTCACGTTTCGATTATGGGATTCGCGAATATTTGCTCTGAGACAGGTTTTTCACTTCGATCTTGACAGGAATTTCGCATTCCTCTCTCTGTGAATTGCGCGAGTCGTACACGGCTTGAGTGGAAATCCAAGCAAGTTTCTTGAACAATGGAGGAACCTTACAATGGCGGAACCGCTGATTCCAGGCTTCAGATTGTTAAGTACGCGCCATATAATAAGCCCTGTGAGAAGTTTTCATTGCCATGGCTCGATTTAAGAGTGTTCTATGTGAGGATAAGCAATTTCTTGATTGATGAATCCACGCCATCGGTTCTCACTCTCAACCATGTTCCTCTAAGTCCAGACACCGTTTTGGAAGTTAATGGTGTTAGGTGTAACATGAGCTCCGAAGGAATCTCTTCGGTCCTGAGGAGAGATCGGGCCGATAAGAAATCCGAGGAAGCCACATTCGTGACCACGGATTGTATAAGATTGACGGGTAATGTGAGGTTTGAGGTTTACGATAAGGGGGATTTGATTCTGTCCGGGGTTTTGGAGATTTGTAGTGGTAATGGATATGCTGGAGAATCCGAGAGTAATGCTAAGAATTGGAGTATGAACTGTGAAATGGAGATTACTGCCGGGAGTGGTTTCTTGAAGGGGAAACACATTGTAGGTCCCGAGTCACCATTACCGACTATCGAGGTTTATGTCGCTGGATGTTTCTCAGGAAAGCCGATTATCTTAACTAAGACTATGCAGCTTGGTTTCAAAAGGAAGCAGACTAAGAAGGGTACTCTTGATTCGATCCCGGAGAATGACATCGGCGAGACAGAGAAAAATCCATCAGCCGGAGTTGATCATCAGGTGTGTTTCCGAAATTCAAGTTTCCATTTTGAAATCACATACTAAATAGGCACATCATGTGTTCAAATCTTAGATGTCTTATATGATATGGAAGATGGTAAGCTAAAGCTTGGTAGATTTCACTTATGAAGTAGGAAAGACATTGTTCTTGCGAATTTGGACCTTGGGTTTGCCTTATTTTCGGTTTTCGATTCGGTTATTTTTCGTGTTCGGTTAACTGAACCCGAATAAGCCACCCAGGAGTAATAGACATTAGCCCTTGGTCTGTTAATAAATTGAAGACCTGGTCTGGCTTTCCTGATTTAAGGTTAAATCTTGAATTATTTGTTACGAACGAACGAATGCCATTATATGCCCTACATTGGTTATCCTAAACAATGGATAAGTTGTACGGAAATCTTAAACGTGCCCACATCAGGTTTGATCGAGACAATGCACAAACGAAGCTTCCTAGTGATGGCAAAGTCCTTTGCCCCTCATCTTATTACCGTTTGTGTGACCATTTCGTCTGAAATGTAGTTCGTCAAAGCAATCTAGACAAGACCCAAATGGTGTTTTGTTTATTTAGAACCTGCCATTACCGGAGCTCGGAATAACGAGTCTGGAACTTCGGGGGTTAATAACGACGATTTTGATCGGATCCTTTTCTTTTTTAATTGTGGGTTTCGATGTGTAGTCATTTTTTGTCGAAATTGCATGCAGATGAAAGAGTATGATCATCACAAACTCGAATACGAGGAAGAAGAGTACCAGAACATGTACTGGAGGAGGAATGGGGAATACATGGAGGGAGAGGACGGTGAAATGTCGTGGTTCAACGCGGGAGTGAGAGTTGGGGTGGGGATAGGGCTCGGGATTTGCGTCGGCGTCGGCATAGGAGTCGGTCTTTTGGTTCGTACTTACCAATCAACCACTCGAAGTTTCAGAAGGCGGCTTCCATGACTGGTGACTGTGAGGTGCTTTCTTCTTTTTTCACGTAGCAGCTAAAAACAAACACTACAAGTTCCTCCTTGTCATTTCCAGCCTGTGATACTATATAGATGTGTGTGTGTGTATATATATATGATATATGGTTTTGTATATGTATGTGAGTATATGTATAGGTGAGGAAAGGTCTATGGTTTTCAAATTTGTTTGTTTTAATGTGGAACACCAAGTTTATGCCCCGGAGAGAGAGATAGCAAAGTTCGATTCCAACAACAATGGAGAATTCGAACAAACTAGATCAAATTTCAAATTCGAATAACCAAAATATTCATATTTGTATTTAGATATTTTTGTAAAATTTTCGAGTATCCAATCTAAATGAATAAAAATTTGAAATTCATGTTATTATATTTGTCCAAAGATTCAAATTTCTTAAAATCAAGAGCTCTAGCAAGAAGATTGTTTGTATGGGAAGAAAAAGGAGAGAATGTTGGAGAGAAAAGAGAGCATATGGGAAACTTTATGTTGACAATAAGAGAAAAATGTTTAATTTGTTTTAGAAAAATCCTATATTCGCACACGAATTTTTTGTTAGTTTTTCCAATTCCTATATCAATTTTTAATTTGACAAACATTTATATAAGAATTCAAGGTTTTCTAAAATCTAACACCAAATCGCAAAATATATTGCAATATCTTATATAACTTTACTGACATCTTATAACTTAAAATACAAATCATTTAAATCACAAGAATCTAAATTCTCTAAACCAAAATCGCTTAAATCACTAAAATCTCTCGAGCGAAATCTTTAAAACCAAAGCAAACCAAGATTCTATGGTTATATGGGAAATTGTAACATATTTTGCTATTTAGTGTGGGATTTAAAAAAAAATAATTCTTATGTAAATTTTGTCAAATCAAAAATTGATATAGAAAAATTGATATAGAAATTAGGAATATCAATAAAAAAAAAATCGTAAGGGAATACGAGGTTTTGCCATTTGTTTTTTTATGAATAATGTAAATCTAATATCTTTTATATGCATTTTCCCTTAAACAACACTTCTATTTTGTTGTTAGAATCTCATCTCGCCTTATTTTTTTTTTAATTTGAATAAACTGAATTTAATATCTAAATTTATTTAAATGAAATATAAACAATTATGAACTTATTATCATCTTTAAAGCTTGGTGATAGACTATAACATTTTTTTTTTTAATATTGGGTAAACAATATTGGTTATTTCATTGTAATTAATAAATAATTATTGCAAATTTCATCATAATTGTAAGATTCTTTCAAATGATTAAATGATTCTCTCTCTTTTATTTGGGTAAAGTAAATGATTCAAATATAATAAATGTAAGATTCTTGCATCTTGTTCAATACCATTTTCTTAGATTGTCATTTCATTGCATGATTTCAAAGAAGACCATTCACTGCATTTTGTTTGCATCCAATGTGATCATTTAAAGCCAACCTCAACCTACACGTTGTAGCATTCTTTTACTCAAACTCTTATTATTTCAGTTACTATTTACAAAAACTTAAGATCCCAAAGGGTGCAATAAATGAAAACAAAATTCATGATACAATTATTACCAAATAGTTTTGAATAAATCAACTATAACACATCCAATTTTTTGTCTCTCCATATGATCTAGTATTATTATTATTAGGGGTGGGCATTTTGGTTCCATTCTTCGGAATCGAACCGAACCGAACCAAAAAATATGGTATTTTTCCCAATTCGAACCGTTCTAAATTCTCGAACGGTACTATTTTTAGAAAACTGATTTTTTCAAAACCAGAACCGAACCAAACCGAATTTTAAAAATCCCGAAAAACGGAAAATTTTTAAAGAAAATCTATCTTTTTTAAACAAAAAACCGAAAACGAAACCGAACCGAACCAAACATAATATAAAAAACGATTGGTACCTATTTTTATAAAACCGAAAAAATCGAATCGATACATTTCCGTCCCGAACCCGAACCGATTTCCGAAACACCCACCCCTAATTATTATATTTGATGACTTGTAATTCAATAATAAGGATACCAAATCCAATGAAACCCAACTTTAGGAACAATCACAAGTCTAAGTCATATAGTGAATAACTATTTAACAAAAATGAGACTCAATCAAACACTTTTTTTTTTGAAACTCAATCAAACACTTGAGTCATATTATGTTCATTTTCTACACTCCCAATCATCATATGCAAAAATACACACACACATATACAGAGAGAGAGAGAGGCTTGAAAGAGAAGAAGGCCCGTGGATGGAAGCATTAGTTCATTGCTTGAATTGCAATCAAAGTTATGAAATTTACAGCAGAAGAGATATTGCTCTCTCTCTCTCTCTCTCTGAGAGAAGGGCCTAACGTTCACGTCAATCATCCACTAAGACATTAGACATCAAATCTTCAGAAACTCAATTGCAAAAACACTTGAATTCCTTACTCCAACCAACTCTGAAAATACCCTTTCAACCAAAAATACTGGGGGAGATAATAAACTAAAAGGGTACTGAAACATACCATGTACCTTTGCATTCATGCCATATTTTGCAAAAAGATATGACACAACACACAACCTAGAGAGCCATTGGGGATTTGAATCAAATTCTTTTTTTTTTCCTCAGTTCAAGGAAGAGTACCTGAAAATGAGTTCCAATAGGGAGAAGAACATGATGAAGAGATCGGATTTCGCACAGAAGTTGTTGGATGATCTCCAGTTGAGGAAAGAACGGCTCGGGTCCTCTCGGAACTCCAGCAACCCGAGCTGCATTCCTTCAGGTAAGAACGAATTATGCCTCGGGGTTCTAATGCATTAGAAACTGTAAGGGAAAAATGCATAGAAACTTGAATCTGTAAAAAGAGCTAGCAATTGACTCTGAGCAAGTGATAAAGTCTATTAGAAGAAACTGTGTTAAGCATTTGAAGAAGAAGCTTTATGCAAAATCTTGATGCTTTAGCAAATGCCTTGCCTTCAGTGAAACTGATGATGTTCGTTTTTTTCTGTAAGAAATTCAATCCCCGCAAAGAGTTTAGAAAGGCAAGGATTACGGCCAATTCTTCCATTAAAACAATGGGTATATCGGAAGTTTCTCGAATTAACCTGCAGCATATCATAAAGAGAAGCTCCCGGGGCTAAGACAGTAAACCAAAACCAGATCATGTATTAGTAAGGTTGCAAAACATGAAACTCCTAAAAGAACGCATCACTTGATTAAGAAGGAATTTTGATCAAACATTGGAGCCAAAGAGCAAACAAAGATTCGTGATGCAGTACAAGTATTGTATTGTATGTATTCCACGATGCATTGTATCGTATTGTATGTATGTATGTATGTATGTATGTATGTATGTATGTATGTATGTATGTATGTATGTATGTGTGTATGTGTGTACGTATGTATGTGTGTATGTGTGTACGTATGTCTGTATGTATGTATGTATGTATGTATGTATGTATGTATGTATGTATGTATGTATGTATGTATGTATGTATGTATGCATGTATGTATGTATGAACACAACAGGAACTTCAAAAGTTTCATCCATGTAATTGCAACTTGCTAGCAGAACAATCTATATAACTTCTATTTTTGGCATTTGTTTTGCAGATAAATATGGATATCCTAAAAACGGTTTGAAGAGATCTGTGGAGTTCAAAACGAAAAATGTAAGTTTCTTTAACATATGTTGAACTTACGAGGAGAAAACTTGCTAATTCACTTGGGTCTGAATTATCTAAGTTAAAATGATTTTCATTGGCAACAGACAAGCACTCAAGTTCTGAATATGCAAAACAGTTACAGTGGAGGAAGTAAATCACTCACGAGGGCAGAGGCTTCGAATCAGATCCTTCCTTTCGGAAGAGGCCATAGCTCGGAGAAAATCGATCTATCCAAGGCATTGGCTTTTGCGCTAGAAAACGCCGGAAAGGCTACAAGAATAGACCCCTCAGGGAGCGCCTCGATAATTAGTTTCCTGCAGCAAGTAGGAAGGAGATCAATGGGATATGGAACGGTGGAAAGAAAAGGCAGTGTAGGAGTGCAACAGTCATCGAGCAGCCAATTTCCAATGATCCACGTTCATATCAAAGAAATATCAAAGGGAACTCAAAAATTGAACCAGATCATAAAAGCGTGTAGAAACGGCCTCGGGTTTGGCAATGGAAGATACTCAAAAGAATATGGAAAGGAACTAATGCAAGGTGCCATTGAGTTGGAACAGTCTCTCAGGATGCTTGTAAACATACAAGAAGCTTCAGATTATCCAACCGGCTCACAGAAGACAAATCGAATCAAGCTACTAGACGACAATGGTGAGGAGCAGGATGATGATGATGATGAAACTCAAAAGAGCCATGACCGGATGCAACTTGAAATGCCATCAAGATACTATCAGAACATCAAGGAAGTTGCAAGGGCTGATATCAAGGTGAGACTATCAGCCCTTGCTTATCCCGAGAATGATAACATCGATCGCAACAAGCATTTCAGAGCAAGGTCACACTGGAGATCAGTTACTTGCGATGAAGCCGGGCTTCCCTCATTTACAGTAGATAATAACCAGTCAAAATCATCAAAACCTGGAACCGGAAGGATTCCAAGTGTCATTGCAAAGTTAATGGGACTAGGAGAATTTCCAGAAGATGAAGATACGAAGCCAAAAGAATCTACCTTGAAGACTGAGATCGAAAACGATGTATCCATCAAGTTTGTAAAGGTTGACCAGAGAAGAAAAGATGCTGATCTAGTGATGAAGAACACAGGACAGAAGGCAATGCAATCTAACAAGGTTGCACCACTCGAAAATCTCATTGCACCAATGCCACAAAGGAAGCCAACTTCAATGAATATTGATTTGGATTTAGTTATGCATGATGAGATTCGCGTGGAAAATGCTACAACAGACAAAACAAAGAGTCAGAAACATATTTGGGGAAAAGAAAGAGGAAAGGATGACGAGGACAACATAAGGAGAAACAATTATGTGAAAGGAGAGGCAAAGCAGGTATCCAGTAAGAATGAGGCACAAAGAACAACACAATATATGAACAGAAGGGCTATACCTACAGGTGCATTTCAAGAAGAGAAAGAGTACAAACCAAATGCACCTCAGACAGAAAATAAACAAAGGACCAGCCAACAAAAGCCACAAAATCATCTCAGCTTTGAGCCAAAGCGAATGTTCCATAAGTCTGAGCCACGAGAAACAAGAGGAGGAGAAAAAAGGTACAATGCAAATGAACAGTTGCAGCGGAGAAGACAAAAGGCAAATGTCTTGGTGACCAATCACTCACCAAAACCTTTGAGTTCAGGGGATGTTCAAAAGAAGCTACCACTTAAAAACAAGGCTAAAGCTCATAGGAAAATTTTCTCGGAATCTGATGGTGCATTAGATACCAACAGGTCCCCAAATGGAAGCCATCAACTCAAACCAAGGAATGAAAGTTTACACTTAGCACAGTTCAACAGGGAAGATGTAAATCACAAATCCTCAAGAATTGTTCCGTCGTTACCAGATCCAAAAACTGAACGAGACTACAGTGATGATCCACTAGGAAAGAAGGAAAAACCAGTTCTTATACAAGTTTCGCAGAAAGCAAAAGAAGGAAATGTGCATAAAGGCGAAATCCCTCAGAACATCAATCAAGCAATGGCCAAGCAGAACAAAACATTCCGCATGTCGACCAGGCCACTGGAATATCAGAGTACTGATTCCAAAGAAGGAACAGATGGAAGGAAGGAACTACTCAGCAGTCATAAAGACACTGATCAGATTAAAAGCAACCAGACAGAAGCAGCAGAAGAAACGACCATTAAGTCTGAAGTTCCAGCGGCCGGCATACAATCACCTGACAGAACTGTTGCAAACAATGACCAGAAAAAGATTGAGGACGATTCACTTCTGCTTATGCTTATTACGAGGGAGAATGGGAGGCGGATCTTAAAAGACGTTCCAGGCCAAACTCCAGCCAATGAAGTAAGCTTATTACCAAGTCACTAACTTTACATTTGAAATGCATCTATGATGAAATGCATCTATGATGAAATATGAAGTAATTGCTAGGGTGAACCTTTATTGGCCTTGGTTCTACCACTTTTACCAGTAATTTCACATAAATTTTGTATGCTATGCAGTTCCAGGAGAGTATGTTAAGAGATGGAAAAGGTCCACAAGATCCCACATCAATCTGTGATGGCAATGCGAATACACTACCTCAAGCTGTACCGAAGATGCTAAAGGGTAAGAGAAAGAATGCACTTTTAGCTTATCGTCGGTTCTTTAATCTCATTGCCACCTAAATAATTCATAGAGAATCAATGCTTTCACAAAGTCTCAAGAAAATCAAAACCCATTTCAGGGATGTATTTGTCAAAATATATCGGATGCTTGTTCTCCCCCAACACTTCTGCAGCCCTAATTCCAAATTCTCAATGTAAAACAAGGAGCATTATTGTCCATGAGATTTTACCAGAAAAGGCTTGAATGTTCTGGTTATTTCAGGAACCAAAGGTGAGATAGAGACTAGCTTGCCCAAGCTGGAGGAGCCACATAAACATCCTACAAGAAAAATGACAGAGACGCTGTCTGAAAGTGAAATTCAACTTAAGAAGATAATTCTCAAAAGCCAGCTGTTCCTAGACACAGCAGAGGCACTTTTCAAACTCAGCATTCCTCTCAGCATCCTTCACACCGATGGGAACAATTACAATCGAGACGACAACAATCTAATCCTAGACTGCGGCTACGAGCTAATGAAACGAAAAGGGAGACTCCAGGAGCTAAGCATCCACCCATTTGTGAAGGTACCCATCAGCTCCTCTAAAGTGAAATCCTTAGAAGATCTCGTCAAACAATTGAGCAAAGAGTTCAAGAAGCTGAGATCGTACGGCAGGGAGGATTGTACCAAACCGGTTGTTGAACACTACTTGCCTAAGATACTGGAAAGAGATGTTCACTACAAAGACCCAGAGTTGAACTCAATGTGGGACATGGGATGGAACGATTCGATGCTTGCTTTCATCGAAAGAGACGATGTTGTAAGGGACACCGAACGGTACGTGTTCAACAAGCTGGTGGAAGAAGTAACCAGAGATCTTATATGCATATGAGCAGCTCCAAATTCTTTCCAAATCACAAAGTTTACCCAATTTAAGGTGCTTTTCTTGAAACATAAGTTCAATCACGGTATTGTTTTGTGTATCAATGATGACTGTTTCCACATATGTGAGCTATATAATGCATCGACTGCGATTCAGATTTAGCATCGGAATGAAATCGATCTCGGTGAGATTATCGATCCAATCGAGGTAACAAATCGATGGATTTATGTTTACACGAGGAAAAACAACAGAGGAACAACTAAGATGCAGAAATCGGAAAAGGTACCTGTTCATGTGCGCTAGGGTTTTCTACGGGCAACCACACGGCAAGTCTCGAATCCATCACTTCTCTCTGGGTGGCCATTTCGGGTTTCGGTTCGGTTTTCGGTTCGATTATTTCGGGTTCGGTTATTTCGGTTATAAAAAAATCATACCCAAACGGTTATATGGATTTAATCGGTTCGGTTCAGTTTTTGCATAATAAAATTATAACCAAACGGTTATATTTTCCGGTTTATTCGGTTCGGTTTTAGATCGGTTCGGTTCAGTTTTTGCATAATAAAATTATAACCAAACGGTTATATTTTCCGGTTTATTCGGTTCGGTTTTAGATCGGTTCGGTTCGGTTATGATATATTTTTTTAAAAAATATATTAATCATATATAAATTTTAAAATATCTATTTAAATAAATGCACAAAATGATTAATCATGTAAAATAAATTATAAAAAAATCTAAAAACTTCAGGATAAAAATTAAAAACATTACATTTTATGGTTTATTGGGTGAAATATATAAGGTTAAAAATGAAGTATAAAAAAATAATACTAATGAGGATTAAAATATTTAAAAAAAATTCAATAACCGTTCGGTTAACCGCGGTTATTCGGTTATTAACTGAACCGAACCGAACCCGAACGGTTATTCAACTTCCTCAACCGTTCGGTTATTAAGCAAATAACCGAACCGAACGAACCGTTCTTATTCGGTTCGGTTCGGTTCGGTTATTCGGTTAATAACCGAAATGGCCAGTCCTACTTCTCTCGATGCTGCCGACGCTTTCTTCTTCTTGTCGGAAGGAAAAATGGCGGGAAGGGAGTAGGCGTAAATTCGAAAAATAATTCGGGAATTGGGAACTAGAACTTGGAAGTTAGAAAACTATATGAATACGTTCTCTAAAATTTATACGAATATACATATTTAAATCTAAAATAAATCGAAAGAAATTCGATATCAATTTTAAATGCTGATATATTTATATGTATATATATCACTAAAAGAAAATAAAATATAGAAGCCTAGCCCATTTATGGCCTAATATTAACTTCGGCTCCAACAAAGCCCAAATCGAATCTGCATTACAAAGTGGGCTTATAGTTTCAAGGAGGTATTATTGTACTGCCCCTTTTTTTCAATTGGTGCCTTTGGAAAAAAATATATAAATAAACCAACGGCGAGCAGATCCGAATTAATATAAATAAATCAAACCAAAACTAATTTTTTATTTAAATTAAAAAAATTCGGTACTTTATCCAAAAACAAATTCAACTGAACCCAAGCTTTTTACAACATTCTTTGGTTACGGTTTTAACAACAAAAACAAACATTCTTTGGTTACGGATAGAGTCTAACTAGTTAGCTCGATCATATATGGATTGATCGATGTCCTGAGAACGGTATTTTTTTTGCCAAAGTTCTTCATGAAACAAATGGATAGCCTTTGTTCTAACTTCCTATAGTCAGATAACGCATCAGGTTCAAGATCTCGTCGTGCAAACATCTGCAAGTTACATAAAGAAGGAGGACTCGACGTCCGAAACATAGCAGACTACAATCTCACTTTCCGGTTGAAACTGTTTTGGATTCTCTTCTCAAAATCAGACTTTTTATGGGTAGCTTGGATGCGTAACAATATGTTCAAATCAAAGGGTTTTTGGAACACTACACCCTCTCCTCGGTTCTCTTGGAACTGAAAAAATTGGTAGGACTGAAAGATATGGCACTAACTTTCTTGAGAATCAAGCTTGGGAATAGAAAAACACATTTTTCTAGCATGATCCTTAGACATCATTAGGGCCTCTGATCAAGTTCATTGGTGAATCAAGTTCAAGTTCATTGGTGAATCGGGGCCTCAAAACTTCTGTGTCCCAAACTTAGCGATGGTAAGCAATGTTGTGACTGACGGGGATTGGGCTCGACCGAACGCGCATTCAGATAAGCAGCAAGAAGTACTCACCCTCCTCTCTTCCCTTACGTCGTCGACGATAAATGGCGAGCTGGATCAAATGTTGTGGCGCTATGGATCTGAAGATTATAGAGCCCTCTTTCTCACGAGCCTAACATGGGAACAAATTCGGAGCCATCACGAGACGGTCCAATGGAATTCTATAGTCTGGTTCTATCACACTATTCCTCAATATGAATTTTTGGCTTGGCAGATTATGTTGGCCAAACATCTGACTAAAGACAGACTCTACCGATGAGGTATCGCATCAAAAGCAACTATACGCACTGTAAGGTGGAAGAAGAGTCGCACCAACATCTGTTCCTTGAGTGCAACTATAGTATTCAAGTGTGGCTATGATATGCAACACTATGCTGGCCAAATCCCCTAATTGAATGTTTATCAGTGTATGAATTAGATCATAGGCGTGACAACAAACGACAATCGGCACAGGGTGTATATTGCGAAGATTCTCCTTCAGGTAACGATCTATGATCTTTGGAAGGAGAAAAATCATTGTATCTTTCGGTCGAAACAAAGGATGTCGGATCATACATGCTAGAAGGTTGACCGTACATTGCAGAACATATTACTATCTGTCAAAAAGAAGTCTCCTGATGATGATATGATCTCATTACGTGTTAATTGGTATTACTTCACGAGATATATGCACAGATAATCTCATTGGTCTGATGTTGATTTTTTGCGGGAATAGGTATCACTTGCTCATGGATTCTTTTGTAAACATTCAAAGGTCTATTTGTAAATTATTTATATCGAATACAAATCATTTTTTACCAAAAAAACATTCTTTGGTTACAGAATAATGGTCTCACGCTAAAAAATGATTGCGATAAACAAAAAACAATTTTTTGTAGCACAATTCAAAAAATAGTAATCCACAATTTTGTAACACATGAAAATAAATTTTGTAAAACTCATGGTATAGTTAGTGATATCAAGTTGGGCTAGGTTAGATGGGTTAACCTATCTAACCTAGCCCAACCCATTTATTATCTCTTTTGGGTTGTTTTTCTGGGTAACAATTATTTTATGGGTTAAATGGGTCTAAACCCATTAAACTCATGCCCAATTGACCCAAACAACAACACAAATTTATTCTTCTTTCTAAACTTAATTTTATAAGCGTGTATAGCGTAGATGACCATTTCACTTATTAACCGAATAACATAACCGAACCCAACCGAATAATATGTAATCATACCCGAACTGAATCTAACATCAAAACTGAACGGTTATGATTTCTTTAAACAAAAAAAACGAAATTGAATCAAACCGAATAAAAAATAATTGAAAAATCGGTAATTTCTTTGAAAAAATGAGCTTTTTATCGAAACCAAACCGAAGTTTATATAAAAATTGAATGGTTATAATTTTTCTATAACCGAAATAATTGAACTCGAATATAACCGAACCGAACCCGAAATGGTCACCCCTAGCATATGCCTCATATGTCTCTCTCACGTGATTATTGTTTTTGCATGTCTATCTCATTATTAATGGTTTAAAATTTTCTTTTCTTAGTCGATAAATCATTTTTTTATATTTCTATGAATCTTTAATTTTTTTACATATATATAATATTTTCTTACATAAAATGTTTTCTTTCCTAAATATTTTAATATTTTAAGGTAACCGTTAATTAAATATAAATGATATTGTCACATGCAATTCGTATTCCGTGACCAATCCGCATTTCTAGGTATATAAATGTATACTTGCGTGTTTTTTATAAAGGTTGAAATTGTATTCATCGAATAGTGGTTACACTGAGTTCAGGTCTTTCGCACAATGTTAAGACATATATCTCTCATAAGAACAATACAAAACCCAAAGAACTCAAAAAAAACTTTTCTCAGAAAGAAATCAGCTAGCATTCATAATGTTGGGGCTCAAATTGGCAAACCATATCTGAATACTAGTACTCGTCATACTACCCTTCAGAGGTCTGATTGCTGCAATTTGGGTACGGAATGTGCGATCGATGTCGCACATAATGGAGACATGATCAACAAATAATTGCTGATGTAGTCTCGAGTTCCTCTCCTTCAAAAGGGAGGAAGTGACGATGTGCCATAGCGTCAAAGTCGTCCATCGCTTAGTTCCTTTCGTCGGTAGCTGCGAAAGGAACTGGATAACATGTGGCCAAGAAAAATCTAGTAATGAAACGCCTAGCCTGTCCATAGCCCAACGAAGGACGGTGGTGGAGTAGCTGCAGTAAAAAAAATATGATCTCGTGTTTCAGGGAGTTGGTTGCGTAACAAACACATGGGGCTAGTGATGTCAAAATGAGCCAGGCTCGCGAGCTGGCTCGCGGTTGGCTCGTTTTTTATCGAGTTGGACTGAAAAAATAAAAGACCAAATAAAAACGGGCCGAACGAGTCAGCTCGCGACGAGCCCGAGCCTATCCGGGCTAGCTCGGTCGGTTCGCCAGCCGGCTCGCGAGCTGACATTAAAAAAATATTAGGGTTTCATACTTTAATTTCTTCACTTCTTCTGTTTATATAGCAAGTTAAAATTCATGATATATTGATGTTGGTGTATATTGGTGTATGAGACTTTTATGTTGATTTTGATGTATATGTTTTGTTATATTTTGATATTGTTAGTGTATTACACTTTTTTATGTTGGTTTGGTTTTGTTAATTTTTCTTGATTTAGATATAATTTTATGGATTGTTTATGTTAAATATTTTATGTTATATTGTATGACTTCAAAATATTGTTATGTAGACTTTAATTGATTAATTTTCATATAATTTTAAAAAAATTTCGAATAATTAGATAAAAATGGGCTGGCTCGCGAGCCGGCCCGCAGCTCGGACAATTTGGTCTGGGCCAGAGTTTTTCTAACTCGTAAAAAAATGGGCCGAACGAGCTGAGCAAAAAATGAGCTGGCTCAAGACGAGCCGGTCCGGGCCGGTCCGAGCCAGCCCATTTTATATCACTACATTGGGCTGATGTTGACACTGATGGTTTTGGTACTCTATGATGATCATACAATATGAGAACATGCATATTATGATGAATTCATTAGATGAATGCATTGTCATGTTCATTATTTACTTTGCGTATTTGATAAATAATGACATCCATGGATCGTTATGAATGATCATAAATTCTTTGGTCGCTTGTCATTATGGGAGCAATGATGAATTAAGACTAACATGAGGCGTG